TTTCCTCTTTTGAACAAAAATTGCATCAAGAAATTCCATCGAGAAGGAAGGAAGTTATGATTTTTTGAAAATCTGGCGAACGAACTTTTGCACCTAATATTAGAATATGTGCTATGTATATTGCTAGGGAATGAGGACAAAAGTCGACACAAAGTTGCAAATTAGAAATAATCTGAAGCATTTTTACTAATTTCCTCTCTTTTTCTCTCCCTCCCTCCCTCCCTCTCTCTCTCTCTCTCTCTCTCTCTCTCTCTCTCTCTCTGCATCTCACAGGTCTACCATCAGTACGACAACAGCGGCTATTCAACCTGGTATTCTCACGGTATCAAAAAATTTAGAAATGGCTGAGAGTTTGGCGTTATCATTAATCATCTTTTATAGGAAAATGCTTTACGCTTGACTAATAGATGAGTTCGGACGATAAAAAGCCGCAGAGGAGTGAAAAATCACGTTTATCTCATAGAGCGCAAATACGAGGTGTTGCGGTTCGGCGTGCTCAACACTTCGCCCAGTGCTCGTCCGCCTGACAACACAACTCCTGACTCCTGGACATAGCGCCTCGGCGCTAGTATGCGCATCTCCTAGCGCGTCTGCTCGACGCCAACACCCCTCTAACCCGTACGACACGAACATCACACGCACGACTAGATTACATCACATTTATCTAAAACTACACAAAATAACAACAACTACTAAAACGAACAAGAATACTAAACTACTAAAACACTAAAAAACTACTCAGATTACTAAAAACTACTACTCCAGGATCCAGAAGAATATGCACGGGACGAGCTGCCTCGTCCCGTGCTGCCGATGCCTGGTGAAGATCAACTCTACAGAATAGTTCCGGGTTCTCCGAAGGGTCAATCGCAAGTCCTTAGCCCTTACGGGACAGTGAGACCCCTCTCCACTCCCGCAATCCTTTCCGCTGCTCGTTAGACTACAATGTTAGCTGCGCGTCTCCATACACAAGAAGAACGACAAAGGCTCAACCGCTCGAAACCGTTGATCATCTGCGGGAGCTACTGGAGGCGCTGCCAGCGAGTTGATATCATCAAGAAATCGATAACGAACGAAGATCGAGGAGGCGTGGACCGCAGCCCGCGCGCCCTTATATACCCTGAGACTTGGCAACGCGCCCAGCAGGAGAGGTCTTGTCGCGATCTTGATAGCGCGCCAAGTAACGCGATAACCAGCGCTCCCGGCCTCCTGTTTCGAGGAATGGCTTGCATCGCGCGAGCCGCGACATGAGGAAATTTGGTTTTTTCAGTAAATGGTTTTCAAAATGGCAGATCCACAGTCTTTATTGTCATTCAATAAATAGGGAAAACTCCCATTTATCCAAATACCAAACTGCTGTTCTTTACATCCATTACAGCATGAAAACGAAGCTTAGGCAGAGCTCGGCACGAAGTGGCTTCTGGAAACTACAAAAAAACAAAGTCCCCCTTGACTTTCGCGAATTTTCACGAAGTCTTCTTTGACCCTAAACATCCTAAACGTAAGAAAAAAAACCCCCAAAAACCGAAAATCGACCAATAAAACTTTATAATTTTTCTGTCTTCTAGCCTCAAAAACGGTACTCCCCTTTCTTTTTGTCCCAAAAATATATCCAGCTTGCTTACAAGCCACCTATGCCGAGCTTTGAACTTAGGAACTCAAAGAATTGAGCTTTTGGAAATTTAGCCATGCTGAGGCATGACTTTATCGTCAATGGAATATCCTGAATATTTGATATGATAGAGGAAGATTTGAGTTATTTTTCCACAAAAAATCATGGATAGAGAACAACAAGAAAAATTTCTATGATGATTTGCATGCCAAAACGAACTTATTTTTTAGCTTAAAAAATAAATTTTTTACATACAAATCTTCGTCAAAAATTTTCTGACCTTTTCCACTCATTTTTTGTAGAAAAGAAGTTCAAGGCTTCCTCTATTAGAATCCATATATTCTATCTTATTATCGAATTTTCTCTCATCGGTAAAGACAGTCAAGTCTCGACATGGCGAAATTTCCAAACTCACTTCTTTGACATTCTAAGCTTTGTTTTCAAGCAGTAATGGACCTAAAGAACAGAATTTTGGTACCTCTATAAAGAGGAGTATAAAGAATTCCCTACTTAGCGAATGTAGAAAATGTGATCTGCCATTTTGAAAACCTTTTATAAATAACCAAATTTCCTCATATTTGCGCACAATGAGCAAATTGGGGTTTCTCCATCCTTTGCGGTTTTTTTTCTCTTGGAAGATAAGTTCTACTCAAACAGAATTTATATTCCAACCATTGAGGTGCTCTTTCCACAGATGCCAAACACTGGACAAAAATCTGTCTGCAACGTTGTAAGAGCCGCAAAAGCGACCGAACTCAATTTTCAACCAACCTAATATCTTCTTTTATGTTCTGTGCATATCATTCAATGAATGGGAATGAAAACAGGAGCGACAGGATGGAAAGGTTGGGATACGATACTCAAGATTCGATTCTTTAGAGTATTAGAGTAATTATTATCTATACTAAACAACTCGAAGGGCTCTTTCCACCTTATAGACAAATTAATATTCCATTTCTGTTACTGCATCTTACTGCATGCAAGCTTTCAAAGTGGCCCTATATTTGATGAATTGCTTTGTCATGCAATTCTGCTCGCTTTCTCCGAACAGGTTCACTAATCTTTGAAATTTGTTTGAATGAAAGGTTCGTGAAAAGCGTGGGCCTATACCGCAAATTCGATGCTTGACGAAAAATCTCGAAGCAAAATTTTGACGAATTTTTGAATTAGGACATCAATTATCTAATCTTTTTCTGGCGCATCAGAATTGCATAGATTAAATTACACTTCCTCCATATTTGGCCGTTTCCATCGATGCCACAGAAATATAAATAATTTCTTGTGAATGCGGGGGCAAAAGCTGCCTCCATGGATTCAATTCTACGCAAAGCGGAAAGATTAGAAACTAGATGAAGTTCTTTCCTGCTAAAATGCTTCTGAATTTCTATTTACTTCTTTTGAGTAGTCTGAGCTTAGTCCTGTGCCTTATATTTATATCTCTAAAGAAAAAAGTCCAAAATAAGAGTCTTCTCTTTCTTTCCTGCGTTCTCACGTGCTCTCAATTTCTTCCCCTTTCCCTTCATGCTTCTATAGCCTAGCGCTCCGCGCTTCGAAGATCTTTGTTAGACTAAAAAACCCTTTCGTTCTTTTCAGGAAAAAATCTTTTGTTTTCCGCCAATTTTAACTCTTAGGAGCTTCTCCTGAAGTGTTTCAAAATCTCTCTTTTGCAAAGCTCCTCTAGTCAAAGAGCCTCAATTCCTTCAAATTTTGAATTTGAAGTTGTTTTTGAAAGTTTCAATCATGGCAGGACATTTGCATATCCCCCTCGGCAATTCTTTAGCGGCCCTAAATTTGCACTTATTGAACTTGATTTTTTTGGCACAAGTCGCTTCCGAAACATTCGAAATGCATTCCAGCTATTCAAAATTTGTACTTTCTCTGTCGCTATTCTTGCCTGAGTCTTTTCAGCTGTGGCGCTTCTTAGCCTTTGACTTGTGTCTTGACAGGATTGCGCCTAAATTTTCAGATGAGGTTTGAACTACGGTGGACTTGAGAGGGTCTAGCACCTAACCATAGAATTTTACAGGGATCCAATTTGCCGAGCCATTGCGTTTAGCTGGCGTCATAGACTTCTTCGAAAGTTGCAAGTAGAAAAAAACTCCATTCAAGAGTTTCGCACTTCATTTCAAAGATTACCCTAAAATCCGTACAATAAGTCCGCCTATCAGATAAGTCCGCCCTAGCAGATAAGTCCGCAGAAGAACTAACAGTTAAGTCCGCTTTCTTGACAACGAAAGTCGCCCTCGCGCCGCCAAACGTCCTGCAGATAAGTCCGCTTTCTCATGCTCAGGATAGGCGAACTTATCTGCTGCGGACTTATCTAATAGTGGATTTAGGAGGACTTATCTGGTAGACCTTTGGCGGCGCAGAGGGCGCTTTTTCATCGATTTTTCGCGTCGAAACTGCAGATAAGTCCGGACTTATTGTACGGATTTTAGGGTACAAGTTTCTTGAGGCCTCTTGCAGACTGACTAACGATCACAACTGAAATACAAAAAGATCGGCATGCAAGGGATTGGTATAACACTTTTCTTATTGCGACAAATCGCGAAACTCTGCCCGAGACCTTACACTCTTGCAAAGGCTGGTTGCAAAAAGGCATACGAAAGGATTGCATTTTTTATGACCTACAAAGTGGTCCTAGGAAAATGTTCCACGATTATCAATAGCTTTCCCGCCTGTAAAAACTCCGCCGATTTCGAAGAATTGTTCTCTTGTCAATAAAAATCCTCTGCTTCTATGAAGGGCCGGAAATACATTACGCGATTTCGTCCTCTCATAATTCTCCCAACAAGACAACTGTTATTAATCCATTGCATCTGATCGTCTTGCACTTTGGCCGTGAAAGTCAGTCGCAATTAGTCAAGTGAGAAAACTATCCCATCCGAAATGCAAGGGTTGGTATGCAATAAACTCGTAGCAGTTGTCTTTAGGAAAATCGCGAGGCGATGAATTCGCGTAATGTATGCCAGGTCCTTAATGGCGGCGTCCACCAAAATTTCTCCTTTCATGTTTCTGACACTCTGGGGCCTTTGCGTGCCCCTGATTACAGTCCTGAAGTTCAAAATGTGCAAAACCCCCAAAAAACCTGATTTTGGGTACCCTGAGGGCGCGGACTTCTTTCAGTACATGGGTGCCTGGAGAGTGACAGGATCTAGGCGTGGCTTGATAGCATTTTCGTTGTTCCAGGTTCATTATATCCTTTCAGAGGCATCATAAAAGAAATGGACCAACGCAGATGCCCCTACTGGGCCCTACATTCAGAATCGACATTAACCGCAGCGACTTGAATTTAGCGTGAACGCTGCCTCTAAGAGACTTGTTTTCTCAAATCTTTGGAACCAGAATTGATTAAAACTTGATGGCTTCGATTGTGAATGTCTGTATACAGTAATAGAATTCTTTATTGACTAGTACTCTTTTCTGAGGTCAATCCGTAACCTTTCGATTCATTTTTTTGATCTGAGGTTTTCAAAAAACGTCCTTTCGAATCGCGAGGGCGTAGTCCAGTATACTTCCTTTTTGCGGATCTGAATCAGTACAGCCTTTTTGTAGCCCACCACCTGTAACGTTCCATTACCTCTCAGACTTCTTTGAGCTGGCTATCGCCTTTTTGGTAGTTCGTCGTCCCTTAGTGGATTTTGGCTTCTCGTCCTTTGTCTTTGCTACACGTCTCGTACGCGGTGCCTTCTCGTTCTTGTGCTGCCTGCTAGTATGGTGGCGCTTCTTGGAGGCACTGCGAGATGAAGACCTTTCACGTCGATGGTGTCTTGAAGCTGTTCTTTCGAGCGAGCTTGCATGCGTTCTCCTGCGACGATCTAAAATCGGCTGATCAACTTTGATCGCTTTCGCACACGAATGCGCTCTCACGTGTGCTATGGCTTCTCGAGCTGCTGTGGTGACGACGATAGTGTCTTCTATGTGAAGATCTTGATCGACTGTCGCTATCGCGACTTCGGGAGCTGCTCCTTCGAGTGCGGGGCATCGTTAGTAAATGAACTTCCCAGTCTATTACTCCTCTTTTATACCATTCGTATCGTATCAAAACATGAAAATATGTTTATGAAGGTTATCATCATACTCAACACATTCTGCAACAAATCAGCCGTTGTTGGGGGTGTTTCTACTCGGACAACTGACCGGAATTCCTGCAGAACGTTTGGGAAAGTCAGACTCCCGCCTACTCTTGCAGGTTTGCAAATGAAGCGCTCGGCGTATACCAGCGCCACAGCCGCGACTTGCATTGCGCCCTTTTCGAAAACGGGGTTTTTGGGAGTATTGCGGAGTCTCCACTCTATGTTTCGGAATCAGAGTCTTAGAAGGTCTGGAAGCAGTAGGAATAAGGAAGTAAAGAATTTCGGTAGACAGTGCCTTTAAGCCTTGAGAGACTATGTGTGTCACGCGGTCCCACACGGCGGTCATTACTTGACGCACCATGTGTGTTAAGCGGTCGTCAATGTGATAAAAGATGTACCTCAGATACTTGCTTGGTCCTTTTCCTCTAATGTTTAGGATTGACTTGCAGAAACATATTTATCAATCTCCCACACATCCTCTCACACTTGCTCGGGAACCTACTGTGGAGAGCAGCACGCCAGAAGCGCGAGCGGGCGCATATCAAGAACGCCTGCTAGCGTAAACTTTGCGTATGACAAAGACATGAAAATCCATAATTGTTTATTGTTTTTTTCCTTTCCTTTCAGTCATCGAGCACAGATATATGCACACTAGCCGCTGTGCCCGGCTCTGTCCGGCTGTTAGATTCCAAGATTCTAATCAATAATGGGATTCACATACATGACATTTTAAGTGGTATGTCCAAAATACTAATCCAGAATTTAGTAGCGTATCTTCGTTGTCTGGTTTCTGCACTTGGAAGCCCTTCGGTTCCGCTCCAACGGTTTATATGGGCAATTTCACAGTGATCTAATTATGGCTCCGCACTCTCATGAAGCTGGATGCAATTCCACATGTGCGAGATGGTCATCAAGAACTTACTTGAAAGCTTGGTAACCAGTTAGCTCTACCGCGTTCTTCTTTTTAGTCAGAGCTAGATGGCTTTTCCGTCCAGCCCGGGTCATTGGTCACCTACCTGCAAGTCCCCCCCCTTCTTATATGTTGTGGATGACTTACCCTGGGACCCGCTTCGACGAAACCGCATCCTCGTGATCCTGATGTGAAAATGAGCTTCACCGCCCTTCTTTACATGACTATGGTAAAATGCTTGGTTAAACATGATAAGCCCTCAATTCCTTAGAAAAACGTAAACAAATCAATAAATCGATAGAAGGACCCAACGAATCGCTGCAAAAAGTAGCCTATCATCTGCGCAGGGGTCGAAAACATATGTCTGCAAAGTTTCATCGGAATCAGTTGAGCGGTGCGTGTTTCTATAACGCACATACCCTCCAAACTGACAATTTTTGAATTTTATATATATATATAGCAGTGGCGTACCCAGGATTTCGGCTCGGGGGGGGGCGCGGCAAAAAAAATTTTTAAATGAAGGTGCGTGGCGTTAGCCACGCACTCCGAAAAAATTTTAGGGCGGCTTCTCAACAATTCTGCGGGCCCCCAACCCCTAAAATCTGGAAAAAGGGGGCGTGGCGTCAGCCACGCCCTCGAAAAAATTTTTTTTATAAGGCTAATTTGAATTTTTAAAAAATTTAAAAAATTATTTTGATTGTTTACAAAAATAAACAAGTCATTTGCACATTTTTATAACGCATGTAAGTAACTTTCAAAAATTTCGCGACCCGTTCTCGGGGGGGGGGGGGCGCGCGCCCCCCCCGCCCCCCCCCCCTCGGTACGCCACTGATATATAGATATACAAGGCAGGTCCCAAAAAAATGTGAACACTGTTTAATCGTTAATAACTCCCTTGCTTTTATATCTTTCGCCGAGCTTAAGGCACCATTCTGTAGAGCGAGGTTCAACTTAGATTTCTGCTATGAAGCGGATTGTCGATCTCTCTTCATTACTGTAAAATTACGATAGGAACTTCGACACGGATTTCAAGCCGTTGAAAGCCATATTCTGCCTCGGAAAAACCAAACAAGCCAAAAACTTTTATAGATGGGTAATGGAAGCCGCTGAGTTCGAATATGAAATTTCCACTTTACTGTGACGCTTCTTTCCAAGGTTATCCCACGTAAATCTTGATAACCGAATTTCCAGCATTTTTCAAAAACGCAATTGCACTGTCAAAAAAGCTAAAAACACTCGTAAAAAGTTGTGCTATGGAATCAGTGTGCACCAAAACCTTAGTAAACGATTTTTCAGATTTTTTGAAAAAATTTTTGTCAAATGGCATATTTCACAACAGATCCACATGCCAGAAGTTCATACCGTAATCCTACAGTAATGAAGAGCGATCGGTGATTCGCTCCATACTACAGTCGATTTCACCCCGGATTAGGCGAAACATTCTACGTGGAGCAGCGCGTGCGCATCGCGGGAAGCTTCGCGAGCGCATGGCGCTGGCATTTTGCCAAGCAAAGACTAAGGAGAATGAAGAGACGCAGACTTGGGTTCTCAGCGCGATATGATATACTGTAGCTGCGAAACGGCGCGAACCGTTGCGAGGCGGACGCCCGCAAATCCAAATTCCTCTCAAAGCGGGTCGAAACTTACTGTACAAATCTAAGTTGAACCTCGCTCTGCAGAATAGTTCCTCAAGCTCGGCGAAAGACATGAAAGCAACGGAGTTATTAACGATCAAACAGTGTTCACATTTTTTTGGGACACCTTGTATAGATGAGCTTCTCTGCTATTGTTTACACCAAAATGTTCATGGGGTATCATAGCGGTTGATCAGACTTCACATTCATTGCAAAGTGCCGAAATCAATAAATTAATGGAGGACCCAAATCGCTCAAAAAGTAGCTTGAAACCATCTACGGGGTCGAAAACATATATGTGCAAAATTTCAGCTCAATCGGTTCACGCGCAAAGAAGTCTATAAAAAACATACGGTCAAGAGTTGCACAAACTTTGACTTTTATATATATTAGGTTGGTTCATAATTAATGCACGTTTTCTCAACTTTAACTTCAAATGAAGATAATCCTTTTCCAAAACAATCTTTCTGAGCGCAACAAAAACTATTATAGACAGCAAACTTTTAGCTATACAAGATATACTTTTGTGTGATTGCACTCATCAGGGAAAGATTTTAATTTTACGGCTCAAAATTTACCGAGAAATTTTTCTGGAAAGCTCTAGTCTGAAGGAGCATAACTTACTCTCAAAAGAACTAGATTGGAGCAAACTTTGCTCATTGTGTAGCCGACGGTCGATTCAGTAGTAGCGTGGAACTTGGCTTTTACCAAACATTTTCTGCGGAAAAAATATTGCCAAGAAAGCAAAAGTACCATTTTCTCCTGCATTTTAGAAAAGGCAAAAATCTATATTTTCTAGATTCCTTCAGTTTTTTCTCATTTCAAAAACAAGAAAATTTTGCCTTTCTCCTATTGTTAGTAATCCTTGGTCTACTCTACCAAAACCAAGTGAAAGTTCTGTAATTGCTTCTTATGTAAGCATTTTATAAAGCTCCTAGTGATCCCAGCATTCAGCTAAGTTTAAGTCAAAGCTTCTCGGCTCAGGGTTTCTAAAAAATTTAGCCTTGGTGAGCATTTTCCAGTACAAATCTTCGCGATTATAACATAAATTTTTTGAAACGAATTTGAGCATTGTTCATGGAATCAGGGCAAGTCGAATGAAAGGAAACATTTTCAAGTTTAAGTCCTCAGCTTTAAAGGCACGGAGCTTCGGTGTGAAAAGGACCAACGAAAACGAAAGTGTTTGTTTGAAAGTAGGAAACGAGCTTCCCGATAGTGTAGATGGTTTTAGAGGAAAACGATTTTTGATTGAAAACTAGCGCTTGAAAGAAGAGGTAGGAAAAACGTGCATTTATTATGAACTAACCTAATATATAGATTTAGTGGTCATTAACTGTAAATTATGATAGAGGGATTACCAATTCGTTCTAAATATCAGTAAGTTGAATATGTTGTACTGTAGGACAATTCATACAGTGGGATAAGTTAGAAAAGAAATGCGGAAATGTATCAAAAAGACTTATTTTTGACTTAATGAGGGCAGTACATTCAAACGGTATAAAATGGAAAGCTGGAATGAATCACATTAATTATCAGAAATTCCCATCACACTCATACTACCTCGATCTCACCTAGGACACTGCGTTGGTTCAGTCCGATCTGGCAAGTTTGGCCCTGTCGGGCACGGCAGGTCCGATCTCGACAGATCGGGCTCTGTCGCCCGTTCAGGCCATGCTAAATAGCCTCAAAGAAATCACGGGTTGGACGCCTTGCGTGTCCGGACCTTGTATAATGACGGATTGCGCCCGGACAGCGTTGCGGAAGACTGATGAATACTCCTTTGTAGAGCATGCTAAAGCTGAAAAAATCTCTAGGCTAACAAGTCGCTGTTTTTCAGCGACTTGGCATTGTGTCAGATTTTACGGATTTCCGTGCAGTCTTTGTATGCAAGCAAGCTAGCTGGTGCCTAGCTTCTGTATATTGCTGCAAACGCATAAGTCTTGCCCCAGCAAGTACTTTTGCGACTGAAGATTAGTTCCGTGCCAAATCGCGCAACAACACTGGAATCGCGCGAAGTATACCTTGTGTATAACTCGCTTATAAAGGAAAAGCGATTTTGCCATAATTACTTGTTATAAATATTATTTAATGCTAGCATTTTTGAGGGAAAATAAGCTCTGTGAGTCCCTAATCTCATGAAACGACTCAAAGAAAACCCCATTTCTTTTTCCGAAAGCTAAGTTAATGGACGTCAATTTTGTTTTTTTATGTGTATTGAATAGCTGATAATGAGTTTAATGAGGACTTGCTTGCAAGCACTTGCATAAATGCCACTATCTATCAATTGCTTATTGTCAGCCACAGTTCCTAGCGTGAATTTGATTGAAGTCGTGAGAAGGCGCTTTCCATGAACGGCGTGCACATTTGCTGCAATAA